CCACCCACACCGCTCCGCTTCCCCCCCGTCCTCTCTGTGCGTATCCCCCCTGTCATGCCCAATTTATAAATCTGCCACACACACGCGTACATATTTAGGGTCTAAATAAATTCTGGATGCATTTAGAGCTGTAAAAAGCATCAGTGATAAGAAATCCAGCAGGCATTTCACACCCACCAGCAGCGCGCCGGGCAGGGGGTCGGTTTGCCAAGGAGGTGTCTTTGCAGCGAACGTAAGGAGCCCCCCCCCCAACACGCACGCACAGGGGATGTTGGAGCAGCAAGAGCTTTACTTGTTTTGGAGAGGGGACCCAAGCCCTTGCTTGTCTTTGAGGGGGTCTTTGCCTCTGAGCGATGCTCTGAATGTTGCAAAGCTCCAAATCCAGAAAACAAGCCGAATCATTCGAGTGGGATTTTTTCATGCTATTATTTGGGTCTGCTTGGCCTGTGTGCTGAGCTGCTCTTGGAGACGTGTTTGCTAAACAGAGGTGGCAGGAGCGTGTTGAAGGCAACAGAAATGGCTGGGATGTGAGCCCTGACCGGGAAATGAGAGGGTTGGAGTGTGACCAGTCTGCACCAGGGCTCCTGCTTCCTTCTTGCTTCTCTAACATAACGGCTCGACTTACCACTGGCATGGGGACGTTCAGCTTCCAGGCCCTCCAATGCAACACTCATAGGCCATTTTCCAGGCTAAGATATCAGCGTGTTTTTGCAATTGCTTAGGATAAATGCTTTGGCAGAAGGGGAAACTGAGGCACAGGCAGGGAAACGCTAGAAGTCGTGCAACCCACCCAGGATCAGCCTGTCAAGGACGGCGACCTGCCCAGAGCACCCAGTTACTGCGGGGAACGGTCACTGGTTCTGCATCACCGTCCGGGGCTGGGACGCTCACGGACCCGTGACCGTCTCTGCAGGTGGTTGAAATTGCAGTGATTTCAAGGAGCTCCCCTGGGATTTGGAGCGGGGGCCTGAAGGGGATTTTTAATACTACCCCATTTCTGAGTCTCCTTGCCCTTTCAAAGGGAGAGCAAAGGGGTGGTGCCGTCTGCCTCCAGCGGTCCCCGGAGCTGTGTGTCCGCTTGGGACCTCGTATCTCCATTCATAGCCTTGGCAGGCTGGTGAAAGCTGAAGACACCTGCTGGGTAATAAATAAAGGCTTGGAATTGGGGGGTGACAGAGGTTCACATGGTGGCAACGAGGTAACAAATAATGGCTCTAACCTGGAGGCCTCCCCTGGCAGCGAGTCAGGCTCTTGGGAAGAAATCCAAAATAAACTGGGCTACACGGGGCGGCTGGGGAGAAGGGGAGCAAGGACCTTCCTTACAGTATCTCTCTCTCTTGGCACCCCTGGAGCTGCCAACTGGGTGAGTTTGTGGTTAGAAATTTCCCCCGAGTATTGAACCTCTCTTCCTTCCATGTATCATCCATACCCACAGGATTATTGTCCCAAGTCCAGTCTCAGCGGTACCAGTGAAAACTTGGTCCCTAGCATATTTGCGGTCCTGGCTGGAGCGTGACAATCTGTTGCTCCCTGTGGGAAACTGCTCGGGGAGATCTCAGCCCCGTGCTGGCTGTGACTGGAGCACACCAGGTGGATTTTAGGTTTACTTCCAAGCTCTGCTCAGTTGCGCTTCCTCAGTTTTCTCCCTTTTCAACCTTACTTCTGGGGTCGTGGCCTCAATTCTGTTGGCTTTTCCAGGCTAGTGACCCCCTATGGGTCATGATGTTTTGGGAACAGCCATCCCAAGCTGTTGGGCGCATGTTGAGACTGTGCAGAGCATCGGCAGGTTCTGTAGGATTGGTTTGGTGGCACTTTCAGTGCTGTGCTGGTGGCTACTGGGTTCCCAGTACTGAGGCCTTCTTCTGTGCCAAAAGAAGTTGTGGAGACCCCTCCCAGTGGTCTGCTCTTGGGCACCAGAAGAAGGCAGATGGGTGCAACTTTCTAGCTGCTCCCTGCCCTCCAGGCATCCTGCCTTCAGAGGAGGTGTGGTAGCTTAGGAGGGCAGATATCCCAGCTGCCAGCGCAGCCAAGAGCAGGCAGGTCACAGCCTCCAGAGCTGGTGTTCAAGTCTTGTGCCATCACCAAATGCCTCTGTCCCACAAGAGGCAGTGGGAACTGGGCATGGCATTCCCAGAATCCTCTATAAAAGTGCTAGCCTGAAGCTTTGACCTTACAGGGTGATATTTTGCTGTCTGGGTCTCTCCTGCAGGACAAACACCCAATGCCAGTTCCCCTTAAACATCAGGCTGCGTGTGTGTATATACATAGACATGTATACTTGAAGACACCTTCGGAAAAAAAAACTTGAGCTGAGAGCCAGACAGAGGCCAGAGCTGAGATGAGAGATCTCAGGTCAGCTCTGCAGCTGACACAAAATGGGAGCAGCGCTGTCGACTTCGGAGGAGGAGGTTGGTTCACACCAGCTGTGAATTTGACTCCTATTTTTAGAGGCTGGTTCTGCTCCTGGGGCTAAATCGGATCTCACCTACGTGGTTCATGCAACAGGGCTGTTTCATTGCCTGAGCGTTTTGCTCCTTCCAGAGAGCAGTGTCAGGGTCTCGCTGTCTTCCTTGGTAATTTGTTTCTTCCTACTTTGCTTTGATTCTAAGTTTTTAATCTGAAAGTTTTCCTGAGATTACTCGTATGGGGAAACTCAGGAATGTTACTCTGAACTCAGCAGATAAGGGGATTATTTTGGCTATGCCACCACTGTGTAGACACAGTCGTCCTGTTACAATGGCCTTGCTTTAAGATCCTGCTTTGGTTTAGTTGGATTCGCTCTCCTGATTGTGCCCATGTCGCTGAAGGCAAGGTTGGTCAGTGAGGGCAGGCTGCGGCGTGCCTGGGAGCTACCTCCAGGAGAGCCACATGGTGGCACGTGGTCCAGGGTGGTCTGGTTAGAGCGGTATGAAGCACCTCAGCCTATCTGAGGTAGGTGTCTAACATGGGGGGGGATAATTGTCTTCCAGAGATTTCTCCTTAGGTTAGAGGAAGAGTCTGGCTTAAACTTCACACCTAACTTCTAGAGAGCTGATTCTTTCCGTGCTGGATCTGTGCTGCGCTAGGAGCGGGTTTGTCCTCAGGGACCCCTGCGCAGATGCTCTCGGGAGGCCCAGGTCTCCTGACTGTCCCCAGCATGTTAATGCTGGTGTCTAGGGCCAGGTTTTTCTCTAGCGTGACTCAGGCTGTCTCCGCTGCTGATTCACTCCAGCCAAGGACCCTGGCTGTAATTTTGAGCAGGCTTGCAGTGTGGCTGCCTGCTCGACAAAGCCAAGGGGGTGGGTTTGGAGTCAAGCGAGTGGGTTTGACAACAAAATGAGCCGATCTCTCTTGGCCAGAAAACACTGAGAGCAGGCAGGTCGCATCCTGCTCTGTGAGGGGGCTTTGCCACGCCTGCGGTGGCAGCAGGCAGGGTACTTTAGCAGCAACGGGTGCTGTAGCACCTTCTGCTCCCAGGAAGCCCAGCCTGCCTGCACTTTGATCCTAAAGGGAGGTAGAAGAAGGGCTTTTCTGCTTGGAGGCTTTTTTCGGGTGCTCTTGGAAACAGATGCTCTGGATAATGGACTCATCATGAGCTCATCCTGCCAGGAAGGAGGCCTGAGGGGGCGGGGGGGGGGGGGGAGGAACGGCACCAAACTGTTTCTTCTGACACAGCCTTTGGTTTCCACCTTGTACTGTCGGTCCTTCCTCGTTCACTCGCATCCAAGGCGAACCAGGAGCCTGAGTGCTGTGGCTGTGAATGGTGCAGACCTCTGACATGGAGGGCTTTTGGGTCAATGCAGGGGAAAGCTCTTTGAGCAGGTCCTCTCAAAGCTGCCTTTTCATGTCATTCCCGGTGGAGGCTTAATCCATACAGAGGCTGTTACAAGTCTCCCTTCATTGCCTTCACTGTCCTCTCCGTCCCAACTCCAGCCGTGGCTGCAGCCCAGCACAACTTCCCCTGTACCTATCATAGCACTTGGGGAAAGGTCCTGGACTGACATCCCCAGACACTGAAGTTTGCTGTTAACTCACAGGACAAGTCCAGGGAACCTTCCCTGTCCACGATCCTTGGAACTAGGGAAGAAGGGACTGACTGGGTGGAAGCAGTACAGCTCACCGAGGTGTTGTGAGCCTGTTGTACTCATTTGGGTCAGATGAGGATTTCTCCCATCCATGGGAGAGGATTAGAAGAGATGTGCCAAATGCAGGTGACACCAGAAGTGTGTCTCAGGCTGCCCTGAAGTGGTCATCATTGCAGTTCATGAAGTTGCTATCCCCAACGGTTGACCACAGTCTTTCTGTGTATGCCCCAGGAAGTTCAGCTAATGGCCCAGTTAATTTCTCCTTTGCAGGTAGTTGCTTTTGCCTCGCTATTTTTCATCCTGGTCTCCATCACGACCTTCTGCCTGGAGACGCACGAGGCCTTCAACATTGATGTCAATGTGACGGAGACCCTCGTGGTTGGCAACACCACAACGATCCTGCTGACGCACAAAGTGGAGACGGAGCCCATCCTTACCTACATCGAAGGTGTCTGCGTCCTGTGGTTCACCCTCGAGTTCCTGGTTCGCATTATCTGCTGTCCAGATAAGCTTCTGTTCATCAAAAACCTCCTCAACATCATTGACTTTGTGGCCATCTTGCCCTTCTACCTGGAGGTAGGTCTTAGCGGCCTGTCCTCCAAAGCTGCCCGGGACGTGCTGGGCTTCCTGCGGGTGGTCCGTTTCGTCCGGATCCTCCGGATCTTCAAGCTGACACGGCACTTTGTGGGCCTTCGGGTGCTGGGCCACACGCTCCGGGCCAGCACCAATGAATTCCTGCTCCTCATCATCTTCCTGGCCTTGGGGGTCTTGATTTTTGCCACCATGATCTACTACGCCGAGCGGATCGGAGCCAAGACGTCTGACCCACGTGGGAGTGACCACACTCACTTTAAGAACATCCCCATAGGGTTCTGGTGGGCCGTGGTCACGATGACGACCCTGGGCTACGGCGACATGTACCCCAAGACCTGGTCAGGCATGGTGGTGGGGGCTCTCTGTGCATTGGCCGGGGTGCTCACCATTGCCATGCCTGTGCCTGTCATTGTCAATAACTTTGGGATGTATTATTCACTGGCCATGGCCAAGCAGAAGCTGCCAAAGAAGAAGAAAAAGCATATACCCCGTCCGGCCCCGCTGGACTCCCCCACCTACTGCAAATCTGAGGAAAACTCTCCTCACAACAGCACTCAGAGCGACACTTGTCCCCTGGCAGTAGAGGAGGGGGCGGCTGAGCGGAAACGGTCAGGTGAGACCTCAAAGCCCTGGGGTTGGGCCAAGGGAAGGGGAGACTTCTGAGAGCCCCCGAGGGAATGTTTGTTGTCTCCTCTGTCCTATCAGCCTGGTGCTGTAGTTGCCCTGGGGACTGGCCCTGCTGCAGGATACGGCCTGTTGCTCTCTCGGTGGTGAGTTCTTGGTGCAGAGAGAGCTGGGGCATGTGGGTGCCTGGTTATTGCATGCTCTATGGATAGACCAGGATGCTGCAGATCAAGATCCCCCCTCTGAGGGGTGCAGAACCCCTGGGGAAGGGCCATATTTTGCTCTCTTAATGGTGTGATTTAGGGTATCCCTACCTAACCTACATCTTCCTTACCCTGACAGAGGTAAAACCATTGGTCTGATTCCCGTCTTAGCCTGGTAATGCCCTTGGGGTAGATTTTCTTTTGCTTCCTCCCACCATAAATCAGAGGTGGCTTCACCAAAATGCATAAGTCCATGGATACTCCCTGGGGCCTGATCTCCTCATCCACATTTGTCTTCTAGTAAATTGAGCATCCCTGCATGGCAAGGCCAATGCTGGTCCAAATCCTGTGCTCAGGCAGGAGCAAAATTAGCCTCTGTACATTCATTATTTGGCCTCACCTCAATGAGCTGAAAATTCTGGGTTGGCTAGTCTTTTTTTTCAGGTTGCAGTTGGTGTTTATGTGGCTGGAGAGGGCATGTCCCTGGCTTTGCAGTGTCCAGCCGTGGGCAGTCTTTGGTGGGCAGCATTGCTTGGGCTGAGCTTCTGGGAAGTGCAGGAGCCCTGCCGTGGTATCATTGCTTGGCCCAGAGGTTGCTTACCCTCTTCAGCTGGGTTTGCTGCCGAAGGCACCTCCAGGTCACTGGTTCAAACCCATCTGGCTTTCTGAGTGGCTTTCAAAGGGCAGCAGCAAAAGGTGTAGCAGAAGGCCAATGGTAACCGGAGTGAAATGAGTTGACCGGGTGAATGTCCCAGTCCTGGTGGGCTGGTACCTGTCGATTATCTTCCAAGCCTGTTGGCACCAATGTGCTGGCAGCGTTGGCAGCAGGGCACAAGGACTGAATGGGTTCAGCCTGCTCACCAATGAGAGGGCTGACATGTTGGGACTGTGCTTGTGGCCCATCTAGGAGAGAAGCCATCTTTGCAGCAAATAAACAGCCAGTGGGGGCTGTCGTAGCCCAGTATCTGCCACTAATGCTGCGTTCACTAAGGTCTATCCTGAACAGCAGCAGCGGGACAGTTGGCCACGTGTGTCTAACAGTGATGCTCATTCATCCTATTTGACATGGGGAGGCCTGAATGCCCCAGATGGGTGTTTCCACCTTATAAAACTCCCCTTGCCATGTGTTTATGATGCCTGTCTGCCCCAGGAGCCCTGGGCAGAGGTGAGCAGTGAGAGGAGCCCCATCACTCTGCAGGCAGCAGGTCACCCCGGTCTCTTTAACCCAGTGTTGATCTAGGAGCTAGGTCCAGGGGGCCAGATCCTGGCATAACATCCTCTTAGTTAATGAGTCATGGAGTCACATGACAATTAGCACTTCACCGCCATAATGAGCAGCCCAGATCTCCTCAGCTGATGTGAATTTTGGGGAGCTAATTCTCACCAATTGGGTGGGTGGGTCTCAAAGACCAGGGGTGTTTCTTCCCCTTGCCAACCCTGCTTGGCTTCAC